CTGTGAAGCTCGTCTATTCTGCTAGATTACCATAAGAGGTTTACTTGTAAAGGTGCTTAAAAAATGACTCGCAGTTGGGTAGAAGATATAATTTGCGCAGTCATTTCAAAGTAATTTACAAGAACTGATGGCCTTTCCCCTCCGGTTTCCCCCCTCCCCCATTTATTCCTATCCTAATATAGTCCGTTATTTTCAGTTTGTACAGTTTAGCTTAGATGAGCAAAGGGCTTTAAGTAATGAACGCAGGTGCGGAGATCACAAAGAGGACCTTTTAGATCGCGGTATGTACTGCCCACATAACAAGGCAACTGGCGACTATTTCTATCAAGTTATAAGATACCATAAATTTCTTGACTTGCAGTTCTCTGCAGCTTATCTGCGTGCAAGGATTGTGGTCAGAAAGAATTGGGGAAAGGGTGACAAGCAGCAGTCGTAGCGATAAAAAGTGACCATAGGCCCATCACGTTACGATCACACATCATTCGTCGATAAATTATGGTGTACAGCCTCGGTAGTTGGACCCGCGTAAGTCAACTCGATAGTCGCGCTTCTTAAGTATTTGGATACGTGGCAAAAATCGAAGTTCGGCACTATCTCATTAATGCTTAAGTAATGACTGGGTTTAATAGAAATTAAGAAAGAGAAAGATAGAGAGAGGGCGATCCTGTTAAACAGAATTATAGTAGAAATCTAATTTGACGATCTAAGCTTGCGGCTTCATCTTTTGAGATTATAGTACTCTGTATGGATTGTAAGTTTCATTGAATGTGATCGCTAGCGAACCATTTAAAATATCGCAACCCTCTCGCGTCTCACTTAATACGTCCGTGACCCTCTCAAAAACCAGCTAAATTGAACTTAAGCTAAGAACACCTGCTAAGAGTACTTATACCCACAGACTGGCCTCCAGCATTTCGTTTTCTGCTTACGGAGGTACTGCAACAACATCTGGCAATGAACAACATCGGGTAATGAAAATATCTGATGAAGTCTTTGATTGATGTTGATGTATTTTGGGATGTAATGAAAGGATGGATAAATTTTAATTTCGGTGAGTGAAACAATTTCAAGGACAATATTTTTGGACCGGATTTTGCAACAGCTTTGTGTAAATCCATAACACAGAATTCAAAAAAAAAATTTGGCCACATACGAGAATAAGCGTATATATGCTCAATAATTCGAAAAGTGTGAGAATAAGCGTTCAATTTGTTTACATTTGATGAATGATTGTTCAAGTATTTGTATAAAAATTTGGCCACATACGAGAATAAGCGTATATATGCTCAATAATTTGTGCTTATTTTTTTTTTTTTTTTTTTTCTTTTTTAGGATCCTCATTTCTCAGGAGTACCGACATCTGTTCAAGAACTTATTGATAAAGGCTATACACGCTGGCGAAATACCAATGAATTTATAGATAAATCGAAATCGGTCATAGAGTTTTATCGTGCTATTGCAACTTTAATACAAGACCCCGAATACGACGCAATCAGGAGCTCCTATTATTGGCGGCAGGTCAGAATGGCTAAGGGCACATATGCCCAAAACCATTTCAATAAATAAATGGTATACAATATTTTATTGCGTGCTACAAAGGATGAACTAATCTGAAATCTTTTGGTAAAAATGGCAAAAAAAAGAGATTATACTCGTTTTTTTATTATACAAGCAAAATCTTGCTATTTCAATTTTATTTAAGCACAAATTATATGTAAACAAGTTACTGTTTCTCCATACAATTAAATAAAGGGATTCAAATTTATTCAAACTACCTGTACGTAATTTATACAATATTTATACAATATAATATAATAGTATATATATATATATATATATATATATATACGCAATAGTATAATAAGAAAAAAGCATAAGAAAGCAAAAAGATACAAGAAACCGAGGATAAGAAAAGTACATCCAAACGGCATTAATTAAATAAAATGCGAAAAAATAGCAAAACTAATTTAAATGAAAAAAGATTACCGAGACGTTTTTGAATTCAAAGAAAGGCTTCCGTTGCTTTTACACAATGTAATAAAAGTAGTATTTATTTCTTTGGACTAACGCCAGTACGTCTTAAGCCCGAGAGCCGCCACCTCTTTGGTCTATTGACGCCTGGTGTACTTGTTTCCACAGCATTATTAATAAACTCTCCTAATTCTGGTGTCGTAGTCTCGGTTTGTCGTGTTTTTCTATTGGGTGTCTCACAAAGTTGGGGGGTGGCCTATAATTAAATTTTGGGTTTAATGACAATGATAAAAGCCTTTTGCGACACAGAATTGGACCAGCTGCTGACAATCTGCTACTACAACTGGGATAGTCGTATATTTTTTCTTCTTCTTTCCTGCTTGTTAAAGATGCTTTTTTTTTTTTAGTAAGCAAATTATTCTCAATGTCATCATCTTCACTTTGATTAAATTCATTTAACAGGCTTTTCACACGTTTTTTTCTTCTTTCTCGGATATGAGCACTTTCTTATCATTCGCTGTTTGAAAACCAGCAGAACCAAGCGAACTTCCCGGATTATTCACCTTGCCCACTTCATCTCGATTCACTTTACTTTTCACTTCTTCCGATTCGTTTTCAATAGAAATTTCACTCACGCCAACTGCGTTTTTGTCTTCTCCCAACTCCGGCCGTTCTCCTAGTCCTAATGCAACATTAATTTCGCTCAGCTCCAAGTACTTGGAGCGCCCACTATTAGCTTTAAAGCCAATCAAGATAATAATAAAATAATAAGCATAATAAAATATGAGGTATATTAATGCCATACCCTGGGTTATCTACTTATTTACTATAACATTTACACACGCTTTTTGTCAAGTTACTTACTTGTCTCTTGTATCCATTTTCTTTTTCTTTCTGCTTGAATTAAATTTGGATTCAAAGGACGGCAAAATGTTCTTTTAAAAATTATACAAAATAATTACGGTTTTATCGCTCATTACGCGAGAAGCAAAGATCGCGCTGCTTGGTTCTGTCTGGTGAAAGAAGAAAACGTAGTATAGTATATCCAGAACTTTCAGCATTAGACATAAAACTTTCATCCCTTTCGTACGCGTCTTAGGAAAGCATTTATTAACTTAATGATATTAAAACAATAATGAAATTCGTAAGTGTATGGTACGAGGGCTGAGTTCTTAATCTACCTATCTTTGCCAACACTTTCAGAATTTGTCCCTGAGTTGCCATTACTTCGCACGACACACTTCAACCGCGCTGCACGCCTTCGGACAGTATGTCTGTATCTGCCTCTCCCACCTGATCTTCTCCCACTTAAGTTGAATGTCCTTCTTACACACCTTTCTCTGCACACACTAATTGCTGTTATCATACCCATAATGATGCGTTTAAGAGACAGCGAAGTAACAGTAAAAATTGAAATCATTCTGATCGGATTAATTTCGTGGCTGGAATGCTGCACGACTTATCTATCAGTCAGAAGCTTTCATTAAGTGTCCATGGGTGGCATTCGCGTGATCTTTTCAGAGAGTCAAACAACGCGCGAATGATCAAATTTGCGGGCATTTGCATACGTGATTGTTACAACAAACAAAAATTCTAATACCCGAGATGGCAAAGGAAACGATATGCTTTAGTTACTAATGCTGCAGCAGTGGGCAAGTTTCCATATTTCCATCAATAAGCATTGCTTGAACGAAAACTGAAAAAGTTACACTGCTCCCTGCAGTGAACTTATCGCACTATCACGAGAAAATCTTTAAAACTCAAAGATTTGTCTCACCTACACGCGTAACCTTAACTATCGGTAAGCACTTGTTCCTTTGTGTGTCTTCTACTTTCTATAAAGTGTCAAAATGTAGTTAAATGTTGTGTAAAAATCCACTTTTTTGTTGTATTCTCTATTAATCGTTAATAATAGATCGATTTTTTTGTTTTTCGTTAAAAAAAAAAATAAATAAAATTTATCTTCAAAAACCGAATGCCGCCGGTATAGCATGTGGGTTAATGGAGACATTAACTTCAACCTATTAAACCTGCACGAGAAAATCTCAATTTACACATGAAGCAGCGAAAAAATAAAAACATTGGAATCTAAGTCGAATTCAAGGCACTCTTCTCTAAACAAACGCTACTTTTCCGCTTAAGAATTCTTCTACTTCACCTAAAAACGTAAAGCTCTAAACTAATGCCCAATAATCAAATAAAATTTTTATACTTTTTTTTATAGTTTTTAATTTCTGTTTCAATTTTTTTATATTTCTCTTTTTTATTATAATTTTTTTTTTTTATTTATTAATTTTTTTTATTGTTTATTTTGATTTTTTTTTTTTGATATTCTTAAAAATAGTTAAGTGATATAATTGTCTTCTATTCCTTAGAAACTAACTAACTAAATAAAAGAAAACAAAAATAAAACTTTTTTTTAAATTTTATCATTCTCGCTCACCCAGAGATTGCCCGTTTGTTTATAGCTCCTGCGGTGTTATGTAAACTAAATGAATGTATAGATTTCAGAAACGAGATATGGAAAAGATTTTGAATCACTGTTACTACTGCTGGGTTCAGCCCGGGTATGGCTAACAATAATATGGAGTGTCTTGTGAAAGAACTAACACAACAAAAAAAAAAAAAAAAAAAAACAAAATAAAAAATAAATAAATAAATAAATAAAAAATAAAAGAAAAATCATGAAATGAACCTTTTTTTGTTCTTTTTTTTCATCCCGGGGATGCATTTGTCACAACATACATGCGTCTGAATGTATATCGTTTGTGTGCTGCCTATTGAGTTAAGTGTTAGTTTAGAAGAAGAGCCGACAAAACGTCATTGTATGCCTATATAACCATAATTAAGACATTTTCTTTTCCCATTATTGCTAGCTAAACGTAAAGAAAACTCGTTTAAATCTGAATCTGACAAATGATAAGAAATTTTCGACTAAAAATTAATTAAGCAATTTTTTTACGTATCAGTTATTTTAACATTTATTTTATTAATTTTTTTTTTTTTTTTTTCTTTTAAATGAAAAACAAAAGAAATATTTAAACGTGTTTTTGTTCCAATCAAAATGGAAATGTCCGCTGGTAGTAAAAGGCCTGCCTTTACGAAATGCCATTCATGCACTTATCCCTGAGAAACTCTAGCAAAAGCTAAAGCTCTTTAATTATGTTACATCCTGTAGTCTTCTTTCCTTTTGTGTTGTGTACTGAATACATCCATCATGACTAAGGCTGAGCTAACTGTACGGTAGCTGCATCCTTCAAAGGTAAAAGAGAACGCCTGGCGTTTGAATTTTACCTCAAAATTTAAGTAGCGGGAAATTTTCCAAAAAGCTGCATACGTTGAAACAATTCGGCTGTCATTGGCATACTCGGAGCGTAGAAACCGTTCCCGGTTGGCATATTGATTGGATTATAAATCGGCATTTGATTTGCGGGTAAGCTGGGTGGGTAAGTTGTCGGCTGATAAGCCGGATTTAAGCGTTGATATAAAGCCGCAGCATAACCTGCACCAAAAGGCAAAGTTGCTGGAAAGGCTGTCGTCGCGGCGCCATACCGACTAACAAAAGGTGAAAATATTGCCTGGCGATAAGCTGCCAAACGTGCCCGATTAGCTCCGGGATTTTTTCTACGCAGTTTACCGGTAGTTTCTCCAATGAATACCTCTTCAGCGTTAGGATCCAATATCCAGTAGTTGCCCTTGCCAGGATCATCATAACTGCGCGGAATTTTAGCAAAGCATTTATTCAAACTCAAATTATGGCGTATGGAATTTTGCCAACCCCTTCTATTCATTTTGAAGTAGGGAAAGCGTTTGATCAAATATTGGTATATGCCATTCAAAGTCAAACGTTGCTCAGGACTATCTTGTATGGCCATCATAATTAAGGCGTTATAGCTATAGGGTGGCTTTTTATTCTCATTGCTTTTCGATTTCTTCTGATCATCCTCACTGTCAACATCATCGTCCAGTTTATCCGCTTCTCCTGAAGAGACCGAATCCCCGACACTACTCATTGGTGTACTAGTGCGACTGGGATTATCAAAATCCTCTGATAACTCACCGTCCGAAGTGTACAGTGTCTTAGCACTTTCTTGAGATTCTTGTTTGATTGATGTTGTTACTGCCACATTGGCGGATGACTTCAATTGACCATTATGAGAGTTTTTCGATAAAATGGCATCAATTGAAAAATTACTTTTAAATTCCATTTCGTTAACACTTCTAACCATATTTCTCTTTTTATATTTTTACTTTTCTTAAATTCTTGATAATTAAACTTAACACACAAATCTTTTTTCTCTATATTTTAATTTCAAAAGTTGAGCTGGACAATTTGAACGTCGTCAACGATGAATTTACTTTTCAATACTATGAACTGAAATGCTCTCCTCCCAGTATTTATAGCTGCATTGCTCTCTCAGTATTTAACTCTTTTTTTTTTTCTCTGTCTCTCTCTCTTTTAATAACTACATCCTCTACATTCCACAAACGTAATTGTGTGCGTGTGCTTTGTTGGTGTTGTGTTCGAAAACAATGCGTGTTCTTTGCCTCTTGTGTATTATAACTCCGCCCAAATATTGTATAAATATTTGTTGTTTGTTTTCTACAATCCACACTATGTGTTATGCACACAAGAGACCTATCCATCTTATGCATAGAGCAATGTTTATGGACTATATGAAAAGGTGGTGCAAAACAATCTTTTCATTACGCATGTGTTCGCCGCTATACAAAAGAATTTTCTTTTCTTGTTTCTCATACGATACAGTAAGCGTATGTGTGCATATGTTTTCGGGACTGTGTACGAGTGAGTGCGTGGGTAAAAAGATTCGTTACAATTTGTGGTTATTGTACAACAATGTTTTTGATTTTTGATTTTTTTTTTTTTTTATGTTTATTTTCGTGTTTCGTTGCTTCGGCGTCAAAATATCTATTAGCATTAATCCAAACATAGGGTTGATTTGTGTGAGCGCGCGGCCCCCTTCCCATACATTCCTTACTAGGCGCACAATCATATCGGAATAATTCTCGATATACATTATTATATAGTATATAGTGTAATTGATGGATAATACTATTATGGAATTGGTACAGTTACATAGAGTATATAATTGCATATACAAACACACACACATATATATAAATGTCATACATAAATGAACTTTGTTTTTTATGAAAATCGATTTTTATATATTGTTCTTCCTTTTTAATTGCTCTTTATATGGAATTTTAATGCACACACATGTCGCAATGCATGCATATATACCTTAACATAAGCATTCGTGCATAACGTAGAATTTATGTCTTCTTTCACACTTGTTATTATTATTTGAAATGAGTATTGATTAAATGTTCTTAGTCGAGTACATGTAAATATGTTTTCAAGGTTTCTTCTGAAAGTATTTATAACGTTCTTAATAATAACTGTTTATTATTATTAAATGTTAAAAAGGCGTTTCCGCTTGCTTATTTGACAAATATTCTAAAAAATATTTCAATTAATGATTTATTTCTTATCAAACATAGAAGTGAAGAAGTCATGTCCAGAAAGGCTTTGAATTCAATGTTACTTTAGCTTTTGGATTTTTGATACATTATTCCCGTTAGGTAATGAAAAATTATAACAAATTTTCACTCTTACGTCCTTGACGTCCTTGAATAAATTCTAACCCAAATTTTTGTACCACTTTTTGTATTCACGTAAGCGTAAGGTAAGCTAAGAGATAAATTAGAACATATTCCCATTTGCGACAACTACACATGAACATCAAAGACACGGTGAAGTTTACATCTGCTTGGCACAATTTTAATCTGTTCGGCCTTCAGTTGATCAAAAGCTTATGATTGCAAAAATTCGAATGAAACGTTGATCATTTTTGCATAAATTTCTAGTTGATGGTTATAAACAAAGTTAGAGCTTCATGCTATCCTTTCGATACGAAGGAATTTTCTCTTACATTATTAAGTTGATTTGCTGAATTTTTACTTTACTCACAAACGTAGAATCAAAGGCACTGGTCGAGTAAGTAAACAAATAAACTGAGGGATATTTACTTAGAATTCTTACAATATTCCTCGTATCAGAGTGATTACGCTGTTCAACCTGAGGGAGCTTATAATTCGCTTCAATATATATGAAATTTATATATGTAAATATAATATGTATATATAATACACGGAAAAAAGCAACATCAAGTCATTTGCTTGCCTGACATCAATCCAATCGAATTGGTGTCACTTTGGAAGCATTCAACTGGAAAGTGCGCTAGTCCACGCGGTTTAATGCGCGGACGCAAGCCTTTCCAATCACCAGGCCTTTATGTCGATCGTTCACGCGCCTGTTAAGCAGCGCTTTCTTTCATGAGGAGACGTGCAAGAAAAAGCAATGTCTCGATGAATAGTGCGCAGCATAAAAGGAAGGCGTTGGCACGATATCCACAATTAATCCGCAAGAGAATAAAACGTGTAGCTAGCGTTGGACTATACCGCGTGCTTTTCGTAAAAAGGATTGACTTTTCAAAAAACTTTTAATAAAAGATATTAGAAAAGATGCTGATCCTTAGCATAAATTGTAAAATAAATTCTGTTGGATTGGTCTTTAAAAAGCATAATTAACCTTTTCACTGCTAAAAACACACCTGACAAGTCTACAAAAACCTCCGCTTTTTCTACTTAAGGAACGTGTTACGTGCCAACAGCAACTGTGTAATAGTAAACTTGCTAAGCTTGGTACATTTTTTTGTAATGCTCATGGTATTGTGTTTAAAATGTATTTGATAATGTTAAAGAAAAATTCAATATCTGCAATATTTTTCATAGATGTGACCTTGAGTGCCTTCAAAGGAATTCCTTTTATGCGAACACCTTCCTCGCGGCTTAAGTTGACTTATCCGTTGTTATAGTGGGTTATTTGAGCAGGAAGTGGCGCCATCCCCTGAGTTCGACAGTCCCTACAAGCCAGAAGCCTTATTTAGGCCGAGGTACTAGAACGCTCTATATAGTCGCTTATTTATGTATGGCAATTAAAGTCACTCTAGGCAAGGATTCGAGGCCCATCTGGCAACTCACTAATTATATGATACACGTCTTCGGGTAATCCATAGCCACGGCCACAGACATCTTTAAGAAAAAGCTTTCCAATATTCAAAGATTCGTTTTCAGAGCATCTAACCCTATATCTGTATATAACCCATTCATCTTTTTTATAGCAAAAAGCTTGAGTGTTTTTCTTTTCTCCTTTTTTTTTTTATACACGACTCTTCGTTCTCATTTGTTATGCATGTATTGTGCCGATTTATAAAATAAG